TCCCCTTGCAGTCCCCGTGGGTGACTTTACCTGGACTCAGGTCTGCACGGGGTCAGACACACCTGCTTTTTGGGCAGTTGGAGGGAGAAGAAGGGGTTCCTTCAGGGCTCTGGGTGACAGCGAGCACCTGGAAAGCAGCCTGTTGGCTTTTTCAAGAGGCCGGCCCTAGGAGGACGGTCTGACGGAATCGCTCTGTCCCCAGACTGGCTGCCATGACAGGCCAGGCCAGAGGCCCTCGCCTGGCCACGCACCTCTCCGGGGACGGGTCCATCAGGGTCGCCTGTGTGCAGGGCGCTGTCCTGGGCTGTGTAGAGGCACTGGCAATCAGTAGCAAGGTCTTCGCCCCCAGGGTCCCCAGGTGGCCAGTGTCACTGCTGGGCCAGGAAATGACACGGCCGCCTCCCCTGGGTGCCAGCCCCGCAGCCAGGAGCGCTGCGCTTGGGGAAGGGCAGCGGCCGAGAGGGCCGGGGAGGAGGTGGCGGGCCCTCACCTCGCTTCGCGGTCCCTCCGTCCCCCGCGGGCCCTCTGGTTGAGCTGGCCTGGAGTTGTTAGGGCTTAGTTACAGCCCATTCTTCAGCCCCGGGGTTCAGAAACTAGTAGTGTCAATGTGTCTTGCTAGTAGCGTTCCTTAGAAACTTAAATGTAATGATCCATAAAGTGATTTTTTAAAATAAAGTGAACCGTGCCTGAAGAGACCCCTCCTCCGCAAGGAGCTTTCGGTGAACCCTAGAGAAGGAAATCCTGATTTTCCTAGTGGCAAGAATCAGACCTTGCTGGATCTGGCTTACAAGGTCTGAGATTTTTGGGGTGTCAGGTGTTCCCAGAGTGGGACTCCGGCCATATGGCAGGGCCGGGCGGCGCCGCCTGCAGAGCTGCTGCACCCGGCCCGCGGAGGCCCCGGCGCCGCGGCTCCCGAGGGCTGGGCCTTGCTGACCGCCGCCGGCCGGAGGAAATCCTTCTGTCTTCTCAAACTTCTGTCCCTCGCCAAGCATGTGTATTTTTTAACCGATCGTGGGGCAGGTGGAAGCATTCAGGACGATGTGGAAACCTTGAGGTGAATAGGAAACGGGGCGGGGGGCGCATAATTGTACACGTGCTTTTCTGAACCCAAGATTTGCGCCAGAAACTTCGCATTTGATGCCTGTGTTTTATAATTTTCTTTCTTACCATTTCTTTCCAGTATATGGTCATTATAATTTGAAGCATATTAAAGCTAATTGAACTTGGCCTTAACAGTAGTTCAGATTTCTTTAAAAACAGATTTGTAAAGACCTAGGCTGTGCAGGGGTAAAAGGTTTGCTAACTTCTTGTGTGAGATTGTAGCGACAGTGCTTTACTACTTCATGGTGAAACCAACCCCCCCCCCCCCCCCCCCCGCCATGCAGAAATCTGACGAATCAGACGCTAGAGCCCGGTGGGTCCTGCCGGAGGCGGGTGCTGCGGACGCACAGTGCTTGTTGGCAGCAGAGCCCAGCAGTGCGCTTCCAGGGTGCCATTTCTCACTGCACAGGCTCTTGGTCCAGCCATTAGAGGGTCCTGGGGCCCCTGCCTGGCCACACTTGGCACCTTTGCATATTTAATATTCCTAAAGCAGCCTTAGTTTAAAAAACATTCAGCAAATCAAGGTTTTTCTCATTCTTAATGGTGTTTCCCCCAGATCACTATGAGTTGTTGGAGTTGTCCCATGTGCAGCGGAAGCTAGCAGACATATCGATTCTTAGAAAGGGCTTTAGGTTGAGAACTGACAGAGAAGTCTTAGGTCCATCACAGGAGGTGGAAGGTGGACATTAATAGAGAGTGAAGTTGGAACGGAGAGAAAAGTTCTCAAAACCTAGAGAACCTTGGAATCACTGTGCGCACCGAGCAGTACCTTACCACGCATTGGGGCCCCCACCCCAGCACGCCTCATAAGCCCTCTTCCCCCACAGCTGGGCGGTGTGCGGGTTAAATGGATAGAGCATGTTTTTTCTCCTTTTTTCATTTTTTTATTGTTGGTTAGTGGAGAACTGATCTTGGATGGAAAAATCCCATTAGAACTATGGTAAGTTGCTTTTTGAAACAGAGTTCTTTCCATGCCTCAGACATGTGGAACGAAGTATGTTTATTGAGATATATTTTTATAGAAAATAGTACAGGACCTGTAACTGAAAAACCTGACATCAGTGTTTTGGGAGGAGTGATAGGTTCTTAATGTTAATTTGTGGATTAGTTCTGAACTTCCTTCTGCTGTTTTAAAGCCATTGGCTGAGTGAATGTTTTCCACGAGTCTTTTCGGATCTAAGCTGTTTCATGGAGTAGAGTGTTTGGTGCTTAAATAATGTATAAATCCAGTTGGACAGGCCCTGCCTGTCAGTTTTATTAACTTTGACCTTTTCTCCCATTATAAAGATGGTTCGGTTAATATTTAATGGGCCCCTTATAGATCTTGACAGTCGGAGCAGTGTTCCTGGAAGCCCGGGTAAGTATATGTGATTAACAAGTGCCGCTTAATCACTGTGAGTCAGCGCGTTTGTTTTTGGGAAAAGGAGTCCTTCCATCCGCATGCGCTCTTGAGGGCGCAGCATTTATCGAGGCTGTCCAGAACGCGGAGGTGGTAAAGGGACCCTTTCAGAGACACACCACAGCGAGCGTGCATTGCTGCTGTTCTGCTTTTCTTTTGTTTGTTTGTTTGTTTGTTTGTTTGAACAAATGCTCAAAATGATGCCAGGTGGGCGACATCGCCCTGCCACTCCGCACAGTTAGCAGGCTGCTCCCACTCAGAGTCGGCAGGGCCGGAAGGGCTGAGCTTGCACGGACCCTAATAAGATGCAGAGCGGAGGAGAGTCAAAAGGAGAGCCGACTCCTTGAGCCAGGAGGGGACCCCTGCCAAGCTGTCTCTGCCTTTAATTCCATAAAGCCCCATGCATATTGCACTCATTGCAAATTCTGGTGGGGAAGATCGAAATCCAAGTAGCTGACATTTTGAAACATTGTCTTTCAAACTTGTACTGTCCCTTGCTTCCATTGATTTCCCATTTAAGAACCCTGTAGGAGAAAAACAAATTTGAGCAAAATTCATTGGTCTAAGATGAGTTGTTAAAGCCAAATTATGCCCCCCTTTTCCACCCTGTGAGGAGCTCCATTTTTATTATGAATGTGATATATCTTTGTCTTGTATTGTGCAGCCATAAGGCTCCCGCCGCAAATCGACCACGTAAATCAAGAGGCTGTTAAAAAGCAATATGGATGCTCCAAACACAGACATTTCGGTCTTACTGGGTGACTGGATATCTTCATTTTATAGCCTCTTTCAAGAAGCAGATCATTTCATTTGGTTTTGTTTTCTTTCATTCTCTATTTGTGTGCAGCCCAATGGCTTTGGGGGAGGCCATTTATTTTTTAGAACGTTATTAGCCTTTGCATCCAGGGCCCAGCCCCTTTTAAACGGTGGTCACTGGTTTCATCGCCATGAGCTGCAGTGTAGCTGACTCTGCAGAAGAAATCTATCCTTTGAAGAGCATGTGGAAAAGAAATTGATTCAGAGCTTCAGAATGAATTACTATTTGTATGTTCAGTTAATTATAAATAAATGTTGGAAAGACCTTGCTTAATTTGAGAGAGGAGGAAGAAACATACTAGATGTTATAAATGGTTTCAATCCAAATTCTTAGCTTGGCATTTTCACATTTGAATGTTTTATTTACATCTGTTTAAAATTGGAATACCTCTCAAGGATAATTTTATTATAGACAGATTGATGACAACTTTTATGATCTAAAATACAAAGTATGAAATTTAAAAAGAGGAAGATAGGAGTCACTGTCACATGTCAAATTGGATATAATTAGATTTTATTTATTTATTTTTAGAGAGTGGGGAAGGGAGTGAAAAAGAGAGGGATAGAAACATCCATCAGTTGCCTTTTGCACGCCCCCCAAGGGGACCTGGCCCAGAACCCAGGCATGTTCCCCGACTGGGAATCAAACCAGCGACCTGTTGGTTTGCAGGCCGGTGCTCAATCCACTGAGCCACACCATCCAGGGCAAGGAGGATTTTTTAAAAGTCCTGTTTGGTTTAGAATTAGGCATTATTACTTCTCTTTTCCAATAGAGAAATTGAGGTCTAGAGAAGTAAAATGATCTGTCCTAAGCAACCTCGGAGCTCATCAGTTTGTCCAGAACAAAGCAAAGGAAGCTGGGCCCAAGCCCATTTAAAAGCCTGCTGCTTCCTTACCCCGGTTGCATTCCAATTATGTGTACAAGGAGTGAAATTAACTTCTTAATCTCTTTCTCCTCCATGCGTGTGTATCCATTTGTATATATTGTTGTGAAATATCCTCCTGAGCTAATTTAACCACTGAACGCAGTGGCCCAGTTCTTCTGAACCCCAGCTCCCTGGTATGTTGGAATCTGTTTAGAAGCAGCATTATGTTCCTGGTTTACTGAAGGGCTACAAGTTATATGGTTTTTATTGTAGGCAAGACGTGACAGTAGCAACAGATCTTAGGACTAATTTATCTCTTAAGAACGAATGGATTTTCTTCTGAAAAAAATGACACCAGCTTTAAAACTATTTACATAAAGTATATATGAATAGTAGCAAAAATAAAGGAAAAATTACTCAGTTCTATGACTTAGAAATACAGTATTAACATTTTAGAGAGAGTCTTTTTAAGTGTCTCTCTGTTTACAGTGTAACCTGTTTGTTTTGTTTTCAACAAAATGAAGTAAAATTATTTTTTCTATTCTAACCAATTTCCCAGCTTTCGTGGGTGGGCACGCACACGGTTTCCAGCCCTTCATCATTATGCAATGCTGCAGTGAGCAACTTTGTTCACGTTTCTTTTCCTGTTTTTCTCATCATCTCCTGAACACCTTCCTTGAAGGGAAATGTCAGCAGGGGCATTTTAAGTGATTTACCACCGTAACGGGGGGGGGGGGTTGAGCGCTGCTAGGGCCATGCCCTAGGCCTGCCTTTCCCAGGCGTGATCTCTCTCCGCTTTTGTTTTGTGTTCTCCGCAGCTGCAGTACCACGCAGGTCTGGCGTCCGGCCTCTTGAATCAACAGTCGTTGAAACGCTCCGCTAACCAGATGGGAGTGTCTGCAAAGCGCAGGCCGAAGGCCCAGCCCACCACTCTGGTCCTGCCGCCTCAGTGAGTAGCGGGCGGGGAGCGCGTGCTGCTGCCGGGGCGAGCTCCCTGCGTGCTGGTTTCTGGCTAACGGAAAGTTATTTTTGAGAGTTTGTATTTTTCTTTTAAAAAAGTATCTGTTAAAATTAGAAGCCCAGCATGTGGGTCACATTTCGCATAGATCTTAAACGAAGCACTTATTACATAGTTCATAGTTTACGTATTCTGTGTGTGACGTTCCCCCTAGGATTTTAGGGGTCCTCCTGGCTTGTTCTTTGTTTCCCTGTCACACTCCCAGCACAGGCCGCGGGCGAGCACCGCTGTCCGTAGTGGACCGACGGGACGGCCGAGCAGCCCATGGGGACGTGCTGCCGGTCGCCTCCCGGACCGGGGCAGGCGGGCACAGGCCTTGGTGCTCGGCTGGCCCGTTTGTGTTCGTGTGTGTGTTTTGGAAATAGGAATGTGTGTGCTCAACTTTGGTTCAGTAGGAGAGAGAACTGTAAGCTTCATAAAGTGTGCAGCTTGGTAACTACGCGTGTCCTCCTCCCTGGAGCCCCGCCCACATTGAGCCCTGTGGCCACCCCCGCCCGAGTCCCCTCGGGGCTCCCCTCCTGTTCCCTGTCTGCACACATGCCCCCGCCCTCCCCGCATGCATCAGTGTTCCGACTTCGTTCTTCAACTTAGCTGTTCTTAAACTTCTTATTAACAGATCACACATGTAATCGTTTGTATCAGCCTTTTTTCCACTCAACATAGTATCTCTTAGATTCATCTGGGTTGTTTGTTCCTTTTCTTTTTTGTTGCCATGTTGGTTCTATTCATTTGGAATTTCACGGTTGCCTCATTCATTCACCTGTTGGGTTATTGTGTCCCAGGAGCTCTCATAGGCGAGGACCAGGGCCCACTCAGTGACGTGGAACCAGAAAGGTGGGCATGGCCGGCTCTGCCGCTAGCTTTTCTGTGAGCAGGGACGTGCCCCGGAGCGGGCAGCCTCCCCACAGGCTGGACCTGGACTTCAGACACATTCCCTAGTTCTTCCTGCCCCTCCGTTATTTCCTTTACACCCTCAGTTACAAACTACATTTTAAAATTTCCAGTCCAAAAGAGTATTTGCAGGTGAAACTCACTTGTTTACCTTCATTTATTTTCTGTTTGATTAGCAAATATTTATGGTACCTACTATCTGCCAAGCACTGTCCTAGGCTCTGGGGATAAAATCATGAGCAAGGCAGGCGTGGTCCCATCTTCCTGAAGCTTTCTGTTTACTGGGGAAAAGACCAAAAAAGAAAAAAAAAAAGAAAAGTAAAGTACCCCCCTACCCCGGCCCTTGTCGCTTAGTTGGTGGGAACGTTGTCCCATAAACCAAAAGGTTGCCAGTTCAAGTCCCAGTCAGGGCACAGGCCTGGGTTGCAGGTTCGGTCCATAGCTGGGTCGCGTGCGAGAGGCAACAGATGGGTGTTTCTCTCTCACATTGATGTTTCTACCTCACCCCTTTCTTCCTGCCCCTTTCTGAAACCAATAAGCCTGTCCTCGGGTGAGGATTAAAAAAGTGCCCCTAAACAAATTAATCAATACAGTAATAATTTCTGGTTATGATTGGCGCTTTGGAAGGGACCACTTAGGGCAGCAGGCATGGAAGGGGGACACTGTTTAACTTGGGAGGCCAAAAGAAGGCCTCCGCAAGGCGGTGACGTCAGATGGAGGTGCGGAGAGCGAAGGCCTGGGAGGCTGCGGGACGGCTGGCGGCGTGGCTCTCACCGGGGCACTCTTAGACACCCCCCTCGGTGGTCTTCAGGCTTTCTTCACAGTTAACACTTCTTTCCGGGATAGAACGAGCGTGACCCACCAGCCTCCCTGCGTCTGCCGCAGACACAGGTGCCCCGCTTCTCAGAGGCAACAGGGGCCGCTCCTCTGAATGAGGCGAGACAGCGTTCTCTTTTGGCAGACAGCTTCTCCAGGAACGTCCCTCTATCTGTTGTGTCTCGTGTGTTGATGCGGTGATTCTGCAGGTCTCAACTTCCAGGGCTCAGAAGTCTAATGGGCCTTGTAACTTGTCACTTTCCCTGCATGGATTGTCTGCCGAGGCAGGACGTTTGGCGAGAAGTGAAAGACTTTCTAATGGTCCCATAAGACTGGAGCCAGAAAGTGTGTGCTGCTAACTCTCTCTTGACAAAAGTCAGAGCTTAGTCCATCTGTTCACCATTTGTTAATTTGCATTGGCTTGAAACCTGTTTGCAGGTGACATGCTATTATGAGGACACTCAGCAACTATTTTAAGCAGCAAGGCAATCAACAGACTCTGTTCTCATGCCAGAAAAGAAAAAAGAGAGTTGTTCACAACTGTCATTATAAATTTATAATAAATCACTCAAAACACTTAAGTTTCAAAGAGAAGAGTGGTTACTGTGTACTAAGAATACAGTGTTGAAATGATTTCCTATACTTAGTAGCCTATTTCCTGTGAAAATTGACTGTCGTCTCTTCACATCATCGAGCTTTCTGGGCTCACATCGTCCTGGAATCCCTTTATAGAACTGTTGTCCCAGAGGCAGGATCTATGTGTAAAGGTTGTTCAGTGCACGTCTAATGAGCATCTGCCATGTGCCACTCAGAGTGTTGGGTGTCGGACAGAAACGTCAGCACCACGTGGCCGCTGGCTTCGTTGGGTTATAAAAGAATTTTACTCAAAGATAGGACACTAGTAGTATGTACATTATTGTAGGTTTTGGGAAAAAGATAACAAAAAATAAAAAATAATATTTTCACCCTGAGAAAGTTATTGTTAAGGTCTTGATGGATATTGTTTAGACTTTTTTCTATGCATATGTAATATATCATTTTTAAAAACAAAAAACCTCCAGAAAAGATTGTACTGTACTATCGTTCTGTATGACATCTCAATATTTATTGGATGTAGTTGTTAGACTTTAAGGTGGTACAATTTGATCTGTGGGATATTTAAATTTGTCTATTAATTACCATGTTCAGGTTGTATTCTATAGAACAGTAATTACAAAATTTTGTTATAAGCGTGCATAACCATAAATAACTTTGTCATTAGAAAATTCCTTGACCCCCCGCCCCCAATGAAACAACCCCTAAATCCTTCCAGGTTTGCTACATGAGCCATCCATGGCTGTGTAACCAGTTGCCCCACAACCCAGTGGTGTGACAACGGTGAACATAGTCCCTCACGTGTTCAGTGCACCTGGCGCCAGGGGTAGCTCGGCGGGCTGGTTCCAGTTCCGAGTGTCTCTTGAGGTTGCACTCAGCAATCAGCCAGGGCCGCAGTCACCTGGAGGGTGGACTGGGATTCGAAGGTCGCTTCCAAGGTGGCTCATTCACGTGGCGGGCCAGTGGTGCTCACCAGTGACGGGAGACCTCGGTTTCCTGCGCACGGGCCTGTTCACAGGTGCTCGCGCCCCCTCCCGACTGTGGGTGACCCTTCGCCAAGCACACGAGCCCAGCGGAGCCTCTCCTTTTGATGCCTTAGCCTCAGAAGACACGAGGCATTGGTGCCACCCCATTGTGTGATAGAAGTGAGTCACCAAAAGTGGCCGACTTTCCAGGGGAGGGATGAGACCCTCCCTTCTGAAGGAAGGGATGTCGGAGTTGCCAGGGAGGAGAGGCATCGCACCGAGGGGAGCAGGGCTGAGCTGGAAGCCCCATTCAGTTATTCAGCAGGTATTTACTCCGGGCTTTCCAGGGGTTGGTTCTCTGCCTTGGGCTGGGGGTTTGGAGATGAAACAGTACAGTTTTGGCTTTGGGGAAGCTCCGAGTGGAAACAGAGGAACCAGCAAGTAGGAAGGAATCATGGTCAAGAGCACCCTGTCCTCCTGACTTGGTCCTGACGGGCGAGCAGGGTGCTGAGGGTGAGCCACCATGGGAGGCCTGGCCGGACGCCTCCAGTGTCTCGCACGCCCACGGCGCGGGATGCAGGCTTTATCCCGTCAGGGGCTGGAGGCTTTCTGCGCAGGCCAGAGGGGTTCCCAGGAATGGTTTTTGTTCTCAGCTGAGCACCACCTCCCCGCACCCCCGCCTCTGTCCCGTGTTTCCATCGGATTAGTGATTTGTGGGCTCGGTGATTTGACGATTCATATCTTATCTCCTTCCCAAGCGCGTGTGAGAAGGCAGGCATGTTCACGTCGGAAGCTCTTTGTCGCACACCAGCGTCCAGGCGGCACTGCTGGGGCGGCCATGGCCCGCTCCCTAGTGCGCACGCAGCCTCTCCAGAAGGGGCCCCGCCGTTTCCCTACGGGGCTGGGCTCCTGGTGCTGGGGCGCTCGCTGGGCTCCTGGCCCTTGGAGGGTTGGCACCAGCCTGAATAGTGGCCGTCTTGTCTGGTCTGCAGTTGCACTTGGAGGTATCTTTGCACCTAATGGATGTCCGACGTCGGCCTCTGTGGCGGCAGTCCCCACTCCACGACGCAGCATTCGGCGTGCGCCTGTGTTGACAGCGGGAGCAGGGTTTCGGCCAGTGTGGCATCGCGGAGCAGCTGGGAGCCCTGGGTGGCAGCGGCCCTGCTGGATGAAATGCTGGCCTTTGGTGGGCGCAGAGGTGACAGTTCTTCCGTGTTCTGCTTCTGCACGCACAGATCTCACGTGTGAGGGAATCAGAAACTATTACAGAAGTTATTTTTTAAAATGTTCACCCCCTGGAAGTGGAGACAGGTTCTTTCCTTGTGTCCTGTTGTTTTGGTGGAAAAGCCCCTCCTGCTACATCAAGGGCATGTCTCCTTCACAGACGGCCTTCTGTCCGGTCCCCGGAGGCACTGTCTGTGCCCCCAGCCAAGCACAGCCCTCCGCTTGCCCGCGCGGCCAGGCCCCGGGCCCCTCTGCATTCGCCCCCTGTCTCTGCGTCTCCGGTGCTCCCCTTTGTCCTGGGTCACTCCTGGCAGAACGCCCACAGGCTTGCCCAGAGCCGTCTCCTGCAAGTGCGCCCAGCTCCTGATCCCACTTCTTCTGGCTCCCACCTCCTCTCGCCTCTCTTTTCCCCCGTTGCTTTTTAGAGAGAGAGGAAGAGAG